GTTTAATTCAGCACGATTTTTCTGTTTCTTTGTGCAAATTTAAGCTAGTTTTGAACTATTTTAGGCTAGTTTCATTTTTTTAGCCATTTCCAAACAAGTTTTTTTTTTCTTTTTTGAATTTGGAAATTTTCCCTCTCATTTTCCATCTCTTACTTTAAATTGTTTCTGCTACTGTTAGCTTCTTGCTTATTTAGCTACTTTTGTAGCCCTGTTTTGCTGTCTTTCTATTAAGGTTGGGCAATATTGGCAAAATAATTAATCATAATTAATTGTGATATTTAGCCGATAACTATTTAATATGATGATTTATCCCCTGGAGTCCTGCAGAACCAATTTAAATCWCTTAAATTTGCTCTCTGTAAAATTTGTTCCAAATTGTGTCAAAAGTTCAGACTTCAGGCTATACATCAATTTTTAAATTGTGTTGATTGACCAAGTAAAACCAGAGTTATGATGAATAAATTACAGAACTTATTTAAAAAAATGTTTGTCATATTTGAAGTGGAGAGGAGCAGCGAGGGAATTGACCAGGAAAACCTCCAGTCAGTCTGCTTGTTGGCGTTAATGGTATTAACCGTCAAGTGCCAAAAATAATCCATTAATTGCAAAAGATACGATTTTGTCCAACCCTACTCTCTATTATTTTTTACTTTTTTTTTTAACTCAATAGGTTTTGCCGTTAAAGATTTTCAGGTTCTTCAGCAGCTTTCAGCTAAAATCTTTCAGCATTAATCTTTCATTCTGTATGTTTACAGGAATTGCAGATGCTGTAGTTTACCAGTATTATATTTTTGTCTCTGTTTGTCCTCCATACATTCCTCTGTTCACCCACATGAATCCTTCCTCATCTTYACGAGCCTCTCAGAGCGAACTTTGTGTTTATTTTCATATTTTAACGTTTGTCTCTCAGGCGGCGACACGTCGTCCTCCAGCACCGGCAGCGCCTCTCCGGTTCCAAACAACTATGATTCCCTCGAAGGCGGCAGCTTTCCAGGTTTGTCTTCATGAAAGAAGCTGAAAAGTTGAAGTCGAGACAAATATCTGTGTGGACTGAACGTGTTAAAAACAACATTTGTGTTTTTCAACAAATTAATTGTTACTTTATTGGTAAACTGTGTTTTTCTAGATTCCATGCCTCCTTCGAACGATGCGACCAATCAGGGTCAACCTTACGGTAGCTATGGTTACCAGAACCTGCAGCCCACCTATCAGCAGGGACCGACCCAACACACTGACGGGCCCCCGTCTCAGAACCTCTACGGCCAGCCGGGTTATCAGCAGTACCCTCAGGTGGGACCGCAGGTGAGCTTTTCAGGATCAGTTTCCTGTTTTTATTTTTCAGCTCATTCAGGACGTCTATGCTTTTAGCTCCTGTTTTGTTTTATACTTAAAGAATAAAATAACTAAGATGTTTCCTTTATAAACACTGAGATTCCTTCACTTCCTTTAAAAACATTTATTTAAATCTGCTCGTTCTGCTCACTCTGCTTTTGTCTTTTTATTTCACTTTAAAATTTCAGCTAACTTTTTGATATTTTAGCGTTTAGATTCAAATTTTTCACTTATCTTTCATTTAGTCTTTTGGCCAGCTTTTAGCTAATCTTATGCTATGTTAGGCTTTTAGCTAACCTTATGCTATGTTAGGCTTTTAGCTAATCTTATGCTATGTTAGGCTTTTAGCTAACCTTATGCTATGTTAGGCTTTTAGCTAGCCTTATGCTATGTTAGGCTTTTAGCTAACCTTATGCTATGTTATGCTTTTAGCTAGTCTTATGCTATGTTAGGCTTTTAGCTAACCTTATGCTTTGTTAGGCTTTTAGCTAGACTTATGCTATGTTAGGCTTTTAGCTAGCTTAATGCTATGTTAGGCTTTTAGCTAGCCTTATGCTATGTTAGGCTTTTAGCCAGCCTTATGCTATGTTAGGCTTTTAGCTAGCCTTATGCTATATTAGGCTTTTAGCTA